AGAGTTACAAGTTCGAGTGAATAAAACTTATAGAAGAGATTTTAGAGAAATTCCGAAAATGTTTACAAGTTTACTGCAAATTTTCTCCTACCGAAGGCTAATTAACGTCAAGCCAACAAGATGCTTTCTAAAATCGTTTCTTTTTCTTCCAGAATATTCTTAAGAATAAAATTTCCGGCAACAATTCTTAATGGTGGAAGCGTTACGTTTTTAATTTGATTTCACTTCAAAGCATTTGAAAGCCTATAGGGCCTATAATGGCCAGCATATCTTAAAGTCAGAGCTTCTATCCTACTGGCAGCAATTTTCGATTTCGGAGGAATGGAAAGGTTGGTCAACCTGGAGAATGGGATCAATCTATGGCCCAGTGTTAATGGCCCTCTTCGCAAGTACATTAGCACCCCCTCACCCTTCTTCTCCTCCCTAGTTGTTTGTGTGTTCCTAATAGTGATTTCAAAAGGGATGATTCATATACTTGGGCACACTTTCATTCTTGAAGTTTACTTAAAATCTTTGACCTAATTTTGCGCTAGAAATAACTAGACTTGTGTCACTCAAGATCCTGAGATCTTCCCACCTGGTAATAGATCTTTTTTTATTACGATTGACCCCATTGTGAAACGATAGGCTTCAGTATTCGGTCAAGTTCTCACTTTCGCGTTCTGTTTTTGCTTTGTAATAAAGAACGCGAGAAAGGATAGTGCCTAATGTTGAAGAAGAAGACGGATAGTGCGAACTAATCAAATCAGACATTTTAAATGCCCTTTTGGAAGTTTGCACGTTTTGCAGAGGCTTGAATAAACACATACTTTAGGTAAAGGACCTGGTGCCGATAATAAGGCTGAATTGTCATAATCCATATGTTCGTTAGTTCATATTTGGTGATTCTATTTTAAATTTAAGAGCTTTTGCAAATACCTGATAGCATCCATTGTCATTGATAGCGATCCATTCGTCTCTGATTGGTTCAAATTCCAACTTACAGTTACCGTCTCGACAAATGTAGTTACGCAGCTCTGAAGAGAAGAATACATAGAAATGGGTGGGGCAAAGGTTTACAAAACTCTAATAGCGTATTCCATAAGCGAGTACGGTTCCTTCCAGAAAATTACTCAAAATTCTGAAAAGTGGGTTTCTGGTTTTCTAAGGATATCAATGAAATAGAGTCAGCGCAAATTTTTCAAGCTAAGTGCCAATCGCAACACAACGCAACACGACGCGACGCGTACACGCGCCTACGTGAGGGCGTAACCTCAATTATCTCAGCGAATTTTTAGTCAAAGTTCAGATCA